GGGGGGGGGGGGGGGGGGGGGGGGGGGGGGGGGGGGGGGACGGTACGAACGTGCGTCCGAGGGTGCGCGCGGCAAATTGCGCGGCGAAGTTCGTGACGATTTGTACGACTGCGGCGCCAATTTTCGGGGCACAAAGTCGAAGTAGTGTAGTTTAGTAGGGTCAGATGATCCTCCTAATCCACTCTATTTCAAATTTGGGCCCCAATGGCCCCCGCCAAAGTCGTTCAAATCATTACGAACTTCGCCGCGCAATTTGTCGCGCGCACCCTCGGACGCACGTACGTACATATACCCGAGAATCGGTTATAGTGCGATGAAGAATTGATACGTATCGATCGAGAGAGCAGAAGAACAGCTGAAATCAACAAACGGTATAATACATTAAGCGTTCAAACGGGAAAAAATCAAAATATATTTGATTTTTGCGGAATTAACAGAACGCGGAAAAATGCGGAAGTTACTTAGCTACAGAATGGTAGCTCCATCTATCAAAACTGGATGAAGGCAATCAAGGAAACGAAACAATCGGAGGAAACCCGGTGACTGTCAGTGACTCTCGAAAAAATGTGCCAAAAAAGGAGTGACTTCTTATCAGTATAGGGCGTGATTATAGCAATAAATCGGCTTGTGAAAGGTATTTGCAATAGATTTGAGGCAATAACCATAATTGTTGTTTGAAAAGTGCTGATGGTTCTGTCCCCGCACCAAGAACCATACCAGGACCGACCCACATCTACTGGGCCGGGCGTAATGTATATGCTAAAAATTTGTCAATGATCCGGATTTCTCCAGGGTTTTATGGAGCTTTCATGAGGATTCTATGTGAGGACCTTACCGAACCGAATCAGTATATCCTATCATGGAAGAAATTCAGTCTGTTGTAAAATTCTCGGGGAACACTACCCACCCCAGCCTTCTATACGAGACTGCGACTAGTGAAGCAGCTTTTGAAAGACGTTTGAGTGGAATCCTTACCATTGGGGCAGTGCAAAAGTGGAAAAATCGTGCGTAAGATTCAACTTCGATACAACTCGGACATCCAAAGCTTCCTTACCTCATCTTAGGCCTTTCGCAATTACAAAGGACGAGCTGTTCTGCGCCGGAAGTTCTGCTCCAATGCTGTCGTGCCGGGCGGCTCGTACACGCTACAAATTTTTATGAAAAACCTTAATAACCACAGGTAAGGAGAAGCGCGTGGGAAGTGCATGAAGGAGAATGTCAGTAGCCACACAAACAGAAGAAATAGTCATGGGAAATTCTCTTCCACCTCCGGACTGACTCTAATAACAAATTAAAGCTTTATTGAAACTATATAAATTTTTAAAAAATAAAATTGTTTTTGAGAAAACTGGATGCAAATTGGATCCTATCTGAAGGCAAATGTTCTGCACAATACTCAGCATTCATTTGTGAAAGTCTTCCTAATTGTTCTTGCAGATAAGAGAAATCACTGCTCTACGGGAAGAGTGACGTCCAGGTTGTTAGGAGAGGCATCGGAACGTTTTCTTGGCTTTCTCGATCTTGAGCCTGACGACAGTCGTCGTACCACTTTCTTCTGGAAAAATAGCACAATATGCGATCGTATGGGTAGATACAAAAACAAAGCAATAACAGCTAAGGGCAACAAAACAAGCTGCAGAAGGTCCCATCGAGAGCACTGGAAGATGACCTAGTTCCGCTCGCGGTGACCGCGATGGCACCTCCTGAACCATACCCTCAATCAAGGAAAGTATTGATTTCATCGAAGTGCTGCATTCGAAATGATGTTCAAGCGTTCGAATTCTGGTAGTAAAGCAAGGTAACACTGATGATATTGGGAAATCAAATGGAACTCACGATCCAACCCAGAGAGCGTGAACGTCGTCTTGATTTGCGATGGGTCTGCAAATGTTGGATTATTCGGAAAAGAATTTTTTTAAACAAAACCATTCAGAAGCTCATAACACCTCGGAAAAGCAATCTACACACCTCAGGCACATTTTCAAATTGGACATCGTCATCTAGAGGAACCTAAACACCGAAGACGTGTCACAGCATGGTAATAGGTTAGGGTCGCTTTCAAATTTTAAATTGTCGTAGAAATGAAATCCCTGACAAATTGATACCTCGAAAGGACCATTGACTGGCGATGGAACACTGTCGATATGGACTGACTCGGAAGGCGGACAGGGATCATTTGGGATTAGCTACAACAGCATGGGCTCAATCATTGTTCACCCATCGAAACTTATGATGGACATGGATCAAAAGGCGCCGTTGCGGTCACCGCTCGCGACGCTTGCGCTACGTTATAACCGTAGTATCTGCGCCCCGCGCGATGACAGTTGCACCTTATCCATAGCCAATGGGTGTGGTGCAGTAGGATCGAAATTGTCGCGTCGCGGCGAGAGAGAGGCCGCGTGCGAAGAATGTAGCAAAACGCAATAGCAAGTCGAAAATTAGAATCATGCCAAAAATGACAATCGTATATCGATTGGGCTGTATGGAGAAGGCTAGAACTGTAATAGCGAGGCGAAGGGCCCGCAACTGCCGCGCGCGGCGGATCGATTACACAAAACCGATCCTACTGTCTCCCACCATCGCTACTTAATTGTAACTTACTTCATTATCATTCTTGACCTGATCAATATTTTCCATTGAAGGATACAGGTCAGATCTGGAATAATTTTTTGTAGTGATGAAAAACAGCATATAAATAACCTGTTTTGGTGATGAGCTAAAACAAAGCTTCCGAGCCCTAAAAGAAAACTCACATTTTACCAATCTCAACCTTTCTGCCAATAGTCAGCAGATGTCTTTCGAGCTTCTCCATCTGGAATGTCATAATCATAATAATTGAACATCATAAAAAAGCCAGCGAAATTGGCTCACTCCAAAAAACGAACTGTAAGATTAAATAATGAATATTTAACGATCAGGGAACGGCACTATACCCATTAACTACAGACCAGAACCTTCAAGACAGTCTCCTTCTACCCGACAACTAGATTCTACTCAAAGCAAACCATGCGATTAGTTACTGGTCAGTTTACTGAGTTCAATTCGATCACTTGTGATTGAAGGTAGAATTCACGTAAAAATGGTTTCCAAGATCAATCTCTAAAATTATCCTGGGACCTTAAAGATAGCACAAGGGACGCTGTCCGGTAGCAAATATTCCAGATAGGGCGTAATAGGGGCCCATAACCGCCTTAGCTGACGCACACACTCATAGGGGTGGAAGAAACCTCACGGCGTTGTAGAGAATGTAAGATCGCACCAATCTCACCGGCACGCACACGTTGCACGCTGGCAGCTTACTGTAGCCAGCTGTACGCAATGACACACATTCGGACAGCTCGTCCGAATACGTCTCCGTACAACTTTTGTCGTCACATCCTCGTTCAACCCCTGATTTTACTAATTCGTTTAGAGCCTTTTACTTCTATCAGTTCACCGACTTCAACTATTTCTTCACCTTTTATTGCACTGTCTGGAAGTAAGTATCCCAAGATTATCGTGTACCGTGCCTCTAGCTAAAAAAAGCGAAAGTTTAGACGAACTAGAGAGGTGATGTGTTGCCTGGCGTCTGCAGTAGTAATTGGAAAAACTGTCCAGAACTGAGTGACAAGTATGAAGTCCCCCTTAGCATGCTGACATTGTAGTTTGAAATCACCTGTTGCTATAAAATGACTTTGGCAATTGTAACAACGTACGTCATAGAAGTTTTGATTTCAAAAAATTTAAAAGCTTAAGAAAAATCACAGGCAGATCTTACGTCGGAAATTAGTTTCTTCAAGGTGACATTGGTGTCGCATATAGCCTTATTAATTTCGCATGTCGTCCTCTCAGGGCTCTAAAAGCAAATTAGTTATTCATGAACAACAACAGCAACAATCGTCAGTAAGATGGACACTTTTTACTGATAATTTCAGTATAATTATGAATAAAATAGGTGAGCTCACTGAGAGGCTGGCTAATGGGCAAGGACACAGAGACATCACTGGCTAGTCGTCTGGC